TCATTTATTTAAAGAATATATTAAAAATTAATATCTTCTCGTTCATTTTTGTTGCAAAACATTAATCTATTTTCATGTAAAATTACTACATGTATAAACTACAGACCAAGATACAAAATACGAATAAATTTGAATTTTGATTTTCGGCATTATAATTAAAATTTTTACATTCATAATTTTCTTATATTCTGTGCGAAATGGAGTTCTTAGACATGCATGATCGTAAAAATTATGAAAATTTTAAGATTTTGAGATATTTCGAACAATTATATTCTACTACGTTTCATTAGTTGTGCTTTAAATTAATACAATTATAATACTACAGGTATACAGGGTGTTTCTTTTAACTGAATATGCCGGAATATCTCGTAAACCGTTGAAAATATGAAAACATTGTTATTATAGAAGTTAATAGAGCGGGACATTGTGTAGGGTAAATAGTTTTTTGCAGGTAAAGAAATAGGGAACATTTCAAGGTTGAGTCAAATTTTTCAAATGGCATACTAAACATCTTTATTCATAATACGACAGCGTTTATTAAGCCGAGTTCAACTGTGTGCCACGTAAGGTCATTAAATGTAGCAGAAAGGCTTTGAAATATTCGGCGTCACAGACGATCCTGTAACATTGTGTAAAAAAAATCGTTGAATGAGCATTAAACCTAGCTAAGTACTCGTCGAAATCTACAAGGGCATATCAAAGCCCACGCTATGAAATTTTTGAGAAAAGAAATTTAATGTTAAGCCTTCAATGCATAATCTTGCTCATATGTATAATTCATAGGTATACACACTGTAAAAATATCCATAGAAAAATTCATACATGTCATGTATTTACGATGCGTACGTTTATAAATTAATTATGTGGGCAAAATTATACACTGGAGGATTAACATTAATCTTCTCTTCTCAAAAATCTCATAGGACGAGTTTTGATATGCCCTTGTGGATTTTGGCGAGTAGCTAGGTTTAATGCTTATTAAACGATTTCTTATAAAGTGTCACAGGATCGTCTAAGGTACCGAATGTTTCGAGGTAAGCTGCGTGCCGTGCGTCGTTGTTTCTAGTGGTAACAGTACTTTCGTCTCCTGACCTGGCCTGACACCGGCCGGTGTAAGGCGGTTTGCTGGGTTACAGGACCACTTTTAAACATTAATAACTAAAAACCAAAGTTTCAAACGTAATTTTTTTGTTCTTGATTTTCGTCTTATATCGGCTTCTAGAATCACTCTCTAAATGTTCACCAGCAGTAACTGAACACCCTGTATATATTATTAATTATATTAATTGACTTTATTATGCTACAAGTATTCCTTACAATCCTAAAATATATTTAGAAAATAATATGATTATGAATATTTATTATGTGAAATATATCAATAACATTACTTAAATACTATGCTTTATTGAAAGGTCAAAATTGAAAATTTTTATATAACATAACAGTATGATATTGTATATTTCATTATAGTACAGATACTAACATACACTCATAACCCATCTATGTAATAAAAGTAGCATGTAAACTGTTATAGGTTGCAAGCTACTCTTAACTGTGGGCTTCGTTTGGAGAAGTTTCCATTTGATGTACAAGAATGTCCACTTGTTTTTGAAAGCTGTAGGATGTCATTGTTGTTGTTCTTTTACATTGTCAGCTATTTTATTCTACTGTGCTCCTTGGAATGAATGGAATTTTTACCTACAGGGACATACAATGTACTCGACATGGTGTTGTATTGGGACCAAGAGCCAATTATACTTGCAGATGAATTGCATTTAACTGAATACAAGCTTATTGATAAATGGGTTAATACATCAGAAGTATTTTATACCACATCACAGCAACATTTTGGCCATTTTGGTATGTATTTGGTATATGAAGGGAATAATATTTGAAATAATAATAATTAATAATTTTTTGTATTTACAGCTGGTAATTTCAGCTCAATTAGTATAACGTTCAAATTATCACGTGAAATGGGATTCTTTATGATGGATTACTATATACCATCTATATTAATAGTAGTTATTTCTTGGGTATCCTTTTGGTTGCACATGGATGCAAGCCCACCACGAATAGTTTTAGGTGATGCATCTGAGAAATATAAAACATACTCAATAGACATTAATATCATAAAATTAAGAATTAAGATTTCTATGTTTAGGAACCAACACTATTTTGACATTTATGACCCTTGCATCCAAAGTGGAAAATTCTCTACCAAAAGTTTCTTATATAAAAGCCAGTGAAATTTGGTTTTTAGGTTGTACTATATTTTTATTTGCAGCAATGGTTGAATTTGCATTTGTTAATACAATTTATCGACGGAAGTATGTATATGTTAATTTAAAAATGTTATTTTTAATAAAAATGTAAATATGTTCAGGAAAAATGTACCTTTAAAAAAAGTAAATAGCAAATACATATTAAAATCAACGCTAACGCCAAAACTAGCACGAAAACAGTTTCAAAAAAATACTACGGGTTTAGAACGTTCGCGATCTTGGTCATCACTCGATAATACAAACAGCAGTGAACAAGATTTTACAAGTCAAAATTATCTTACTGTTCATGTAAATATATATGTTTAAAAATTCTAAACAAAACAAGTTATAAATATTTTTCACGATAAATATGCTTTTGTTATAGAGTTTCCCAAGTACTCTCAATATTCCTTCTGTTAAAGTTGATGAAGACAAAGATCAAGAGTGCTCTGTGGGGAGCATTGTGACTATTAATAGTACATCATCGCCAAAACCTTTTCAACGAAGGGCAACTCTTGCACAGTTGCATAACTTTACAACAATGACTCCACAGGAAATTGCTCAATGGATTGATAGACGTAGCAGAATTGTATTTCCTGTAGCTTTCATTATATTTAATATTCTTTACTGGTCTTTTATTTGGATATAAAAATTTCATTATGAAATTAAACATGCCAAAAAATTAAGTAATGTATATTTTTAAAAATTGAAATTAGAGATGTTGAAAAAATGTTTTAAAACCATAAAAGATGTATTTCTGTAATTTAGCTACATAAAATATTCAGTTTTAATAAAAATCTATTTTTTATAATATAACGCATACAAATTTCTATTCATGATAAACCTAATTGATTATGCTATGTAATTCATTCGAAGTAATAAACGCTTACGATCCATCTAGGACTCAATATACATTTGTTACAAACCTGAACTGAGTGGCAGCGAAGCGGAGAAATGCCATTCGTTAGAGTTTATTAGTAAGTGAACGATTCAGTGCCTGGTTAACACATGTTATGAACGAATTTATGGCTAAACCGTAGGGAGCCACTAAGAAAGCTAGCTTTCGCAAACAAACCTACAGCTGAACTATAAGAAGCTGTTAGAAAGGTGGAAATCATGAACAACCCTACAGCTAAACTGTAGGTATAAAGAAAAGATGTTCAAATCAAGAAATTACAAGGAAAATCAATAGAAGAATTAAAGTTATTAATAATTTCTGTAAAGACTCTGAAAATTCTGAAAAAAAAATATAAACGAAGAACAAAACGATCTACAAATGAAAAAGAAAGAAAATTAATTTTATGTAATATTTCTAATTTGGTAATTTCTGTTACAAAAATTAAATAAAAAGTTGGAGCAATTATATTAATTTCAACCATTAGACAAATAGTACAAAGTGTAGCGTATATGAAACGTCTAAAATTGCACAGAAAAGCAACATTAAAATAGTGTCATGTTGAAGTCTAATTCAATTTTGGACGAATATTCATTAGCTATAATGTAACTTTTTCGGATAAAAGAAAATTCGAATTAGATGAACTGTATGGATATGTATATTATCTGTAGAAAAAAGAACGAATTCTTTTTCATATGTCACACATATTACTAACACTTTACAATTAGGGTATGCAGGCATATTCCCGAAAGTATCTGAAAATGATTTTCGGGACCCCCCCCCATATGCCCGACGAGGGTAGTCATGGGGGTTTTAGTGGGTAAGAATCCCACACTATCCCGCCTCTTTCCCCTCTACGAGAGGCAGGGTGTCTATGCAAGATTTCCCCCATGTAAAAAAAAAAAGGGTATGCAGCATACATACTTAGATGTAATTTTAAAAATACTTAAAATACTTAACATACAATTAATAAGATATAATACACAATCATTTAGAAGTGTCAGTTATTCATAAAAAATTTATAAAGTGCTGTATTTATAGTTCAATACATGAATGCATACAAAATTATAATTAAATTTCACAGTATTTATTTTACACTAATGGGTCATTGTTCCAGGTGCATATATGTCAACATGATGGTCTGATAATTTATATATATATCTTGCTATTTCAGGCCAGTTATATTTTATTCTAACAGAATCTATTCTCCAATGAATTGCTATTTTTCCAGATGCACGAGAAGAATGTCCTGTTTCAAGAGGCTCAGTTACAATAAATAACTGAGCCATGTGTTTAAGAACCTGTGTAAATGTGGTAGAAATGCAGCTTTGTGATGTATGTTTATAGGTATGCATTACAACACAAAGATAAGATCTACTGTAGTCTTTAATAAGTGACCTACAGAATCTTATGAAATACAAGTATTCTTTCAAATCAAATCCGAGATTATAAAAATTACTTATATCATCAACCAAAAGAACAACAGGTGCACCGTTTCTTGTCATGCTCTCATATTCCATTTTAATATTTAAAAGTACATCAAGAAGTATTTTGTTTGATGTTTGTGTATGCATAAAATTCACATCAGATGCAATAACTTTCATTGGTTCAATAACTGTAACCTTACCTTTTTCTTTTAATGATGAAAGATTATAACCAAATTTCTTACCCATGTTATGATAATGATTAAATGTATTATGACAAAGTACAAAACAGATTTCATAATTTTTGTTCAGTGCATTGCATATAATCGAATTTAATAAAAAATTTGCATTACTTTCATGTTGTTCTTCAATTAAAATCAATTTCCCATCCATATTTACTTTATCAATACCAATTGTGTTAGATACTGGATCCATTATGTTCACTATAATTGACACTAGAAATAATGAAATAATAATGACGTAATAATAATGAAATTAAAGTATTTACAAATTGATACTATAAAATAAATAATCTTACTGTAAACAATAAAATGATGAAACTCTAAATTTTCGTTATAGTATACCAATTAATTTTACTATGTATCCAAACTAAATCATTTTATATACAACTAAATGATTTACATTTCAATTATCTGTAATGCATGCACATCGAATGAAATAAATGTCATATATTAATTTACCTATTAATTTATGATTTACTATTAATTTATACTATAGCAGAATTTTGCATAAAAATTTTACACTCTTATCTGAGTATTTCACAGTACAATCAATATTCAGCATATGCTTTTACTATCAACATTAGGTAAACACATGTACAATACGTGCAACTAACAATTTTACGACTAGATCTAACTATATAGTTGGTATCAGTGATGCCAGAATCATGGGCCGTGGACGAAAGCAGTTACCCCCACTATGACCTACCGCCGTCTCCCACTATACCGTCCTCGTGCTCTCACACAAGTGTAGCGGTAGCTCTGTCGTGTGCGAAGCCTGTTCGGCTCTTTCCGCCAATTACTACGTCACCACGTGACGCTCGAGCAACCTGAGCGCATGTGTAAGGAGATTCCCTTTGAATCTCGGTGAGACGGAGTGTTTCGAGTATGTATGTATATGGGCGTTCGGGACAAAAATCATTATTTCTAAATTAATCAATTTTCGACCTAAGTTCTCTAATACTTTTCTGAAGAGAATTCAAATATGCACATAAAAAAAATATATGGTTTCATTTAAAAAAATTGTAGCGATCTATATTTTTTATCGAATAAAAACTTTTTGTAAATTTTCATTAACACGATTTACTGTCAACTGAATACTGATTAACTTTTGTTTGAAAAATTTGTTCATCAGTTTCGCGGAAATACCGGTGAAATCGTAGCGGCCGTTTCGCATACAGGGGTTTGAGAGACAAATATCATAACTTTGTATACATTCAAAATTTCTCTTTTATTTGTGTTTTGTAATTTTCATTAGGTAGTTAAATAACAATATAAGTAATAAAAAAATTGAATAACACGTACAATAGTAGGATAGGACGCTAGAATACTGAACGCGTTAATAATGATATTGACAATTTTCTTCATTTTGAGCAAATTTGAGCAGTTAAATTTGACATTAATATGAAGATTTATGTGTTCAAAATTAATATACAAAAAATCACAGAGGTATTACTCTGAAAAAGAAGGTAATACTCTAGAGGTATTACTCTAAATTTGATAAAAATTTTACATAAAAAATTAAGAAAATTTATTACTGTTGTATTAAAATTCTGTGTCAGCTACAAAGGTATGTATTCAGGTACTAAACACAACCTATAAAAATGTTGAACATAGCTTAAACTCAGATCCGAACTCAGATTACCCGCTTACGAAACAAACATCCTGTGCAGTGGCTCACTGCCGATTGTTGAATAGTACCTAAACTTTTAAAGTTTTACGGAAGTAATTTCAATTGTTTATAAAAAATGCGCATTGAAATGAAATATTTTACAGAATGTCATTTTTCGACTTCTAGATTGCAGGTATGTAGTCTCCTTGATAAGTGCTTTGCACATCAATATTTCTCAATTTTTTTTATTTCACTGAAAAGTTACAAAATGAAATTACAAAATAATTAAAAATAAAGTGTAACACCGACGCACAATGTTTCGACCAATGGACAAAAATCAGAAATTCAAAGTGTAAAATCTAAAAATTTTTTCATTTTAAGATGTTAATAATAAACCGTAGTTTGTAATATTACCTATAATTTTGACTGAATACATCCATTTGTTGTTAAAATTAAGACGTGAAATTTGCTCCATTAACACGTTGATCGCCCAGCGTGAATCGGTAGTTTCTCCCGGGGCCCAAATCCGATACTCGGAGTGTAAACAGCGCGATTAGCTGAAATAGCGATACGATGCAATGCGTTGCAAGGAAAAATTTACAAAAGAATATAACGTATTGTCCTAAGTGTGCAAAGTCACCTCAGTTATGTTTACAATGTTTTAACGAATACCATCGTAACTAATAAAATGTTATATATTATTTTAAAAACAAATTTAAATATAGTATAAGTGTATGTATATTTTTAATTTGTTTACTTTATATTATATAGTTTTGTTGTTTTGTATATTTTTCATTTGCATGTGCTAATTCCATTAAATACTTGTGTTACAAATAAAATTATTATAAATTACCCCCAAAATCCTGTTTAATTGGACGAAGAAGAGCATCACCCGT